AGGAAGTGTATATGGAGCAACCGCCAGGGTTTGTTGCTCAGGGGGAGGATGGTAAGGTTTGTAGACTCAAAAAGGCAATTTATGGACTGAAACAATCTCCACGCGCATGGTTTGGTAGGCTCAGTGAAGTAGTGAAAGACTTTGAGATGAAACAATGTCAGGTAGACCATTTTGTGTTCAGCCATGACTCAAAAGATGGGAAAATCTTGCTAGTGGTGTATGTGGATGATATTGTCATATAACTGGGAGTGACAGTAATGGGATTGAAAGGTTGAAGAAATTCCTACAGGACCACTTCAATACGAAAGATTTAGGTAAGTTGAAGTACTTCCTGGGAATAGAAGTTGCAAGGTCAAGGCATGGAATTAACTTATGTCAAAGAAAATATGTTCTTGACCTACTTGAAGAAACAGGACTGTTAGGTGCTAAACCAGCAGAGACTCCTATGGAACTTAATGTCAAGTTGAGTGTTAATGCAGGTGAAGAGTTTGATGATCCTAGAAGATACAGGAGGTTGGTAGGAAAGTTGAATTATCTGACTATTACCCGACCAGATATATCATTTGTTGTGAGTATGGTGAGTCAGTTTATGTAACATCCTCGGATTCCTCATTGGAAAGCAGTTCTAAGGATTGTTAAGTACATGAAGGGTGCTCCAGGTCGTGGTTTGCTATACCAAAGCAGTTCTAAGCAGTTCTTCTTCTTCTTCTTCTTCTTCTTCTTCTTCTCTACTGTAACCTAGGACTAAATAAGGTTTTCACAATCATGAATAAATTATCAATCATTTATCAAAAAAAAAAAAAGATTAACACATGATATGTTGTAGAAAAGAAGGCCAAAAAAGTGTCCAACCCCTCACATGCGCTTTCTATGCTAAAACAATGGTTAAACCATCTCCCATATCTTTTATCCTGTTCTTTTGTAGTTTGTATTTGGGAGCATCTTTGTTATCTCTTTGGGTGCAAGTGGACGACTCAGGACGTGGTGGGTCTCTTTGGCCCAATCTTCTTGAGACAGCTAAAGAAAAGGGAAAGAATTATGTAGAAAGCAATGAGAGCTGCCATGTTATGGACAATATGGGAAGAAAGGAATGGAGGGATTTTTATGAAAAGAGTAGAATAGAGATAGAAATATTTGATATGGTGAAAATTAAAGTGGCACATTGGGTGAAGACCCTAGAGGATTTCCAAGGTTTCTCAACAAATGACATTTTGAGAAGTTGGAACTTTGAAAGGAAGTGGCATTATCAGCTCAAACCAAGGAAAGAATGGAGACCCCCAACAACCAACTTTGTTGAACTCAATTTTGACGAGAGTTATATTGGTAATCAGGCTGTGACTGGACTAGGAGGGGTCTTGCAAGACACAAAAGGAAAGGTGTTAGCATTGTTTTCAGAACCTTTAGCAGATGGTAATGCATTGACAGTAGGGCTGTGTGGATTGCTCCATGGCTTAAAATTTGCTAAGCAATTCGGTTTCTACAACTTGGAGGTGGAAGGAGACTCTCAGGTGGTCATTTCATGGACAAGATGTAACTCCCAAATCCCATGGATCCATAGACATACTTTTTGGGAAATAGAAAGCATAACAAGGGAGCTGAATATTGTTTTTAAATGGGTGAGAAAGCAACAAATGGGATAGTGGATTTTTGGCTAAACAAGGAACAGCCAGGCACCAAATGTTTTGAGCAAAATTATAAATTATAAAGTTTGTCTTTAGGTGGAAAAAACCCCACCTATTTGTAATACTTGAACTTGTTATTAATAAAATCTCTTTTTACTGATTAAAAAAAAAAAGCATTTGAATCTCAGTGATTTTCTCACTTACAGTTTCATAAAGGGGGAAATGTACAAGATAAAGAAGAGAGAGATCCCTAATAATCGCAGTGGTGTTGGTCTATGTTTTGCTTACAAGCTAAGAGAAATAGTTAATGTGCAGAATTATTTTTTTCTGTTATTTAACAATATGATATGTGGCTTCATTATCTTTGTTTGAGTTTATCAGTTGGCATGGTCTTCTGCATTTCTTCTTTCTTCTTGTTCTCCTGCTTTCTGCATCAAAGGTCTGGTGCTTGGTTTTTCTTTTCTTTGTGCAAATTACATTTTCTTTTATTTTTTTAGCTAGAATTTTCTTTGAACTGTAAAGCTAATCAAATCCAAATATCTGACACCTTTAACAAATTGGAATTCGAATTGTTTTTTTTTTTTTTTTTGTAGATCTGTCAGATATCAGATAGAATCAGATAGGGGATATATCCTATTGAATCAAATTCAAATATACCCCAATCCAAATGCAACTCAATTTGCTTGCAGCCCTAAATTGGAGCAAGATATTTACCCTAGATATAAGGGACTAGCTTCTTTGTATATGTTTGTGTGTTTGTGTTTATACCTATTTGTATGTTATTGAAATTTCCAAGCGCTACTCACTATTAATTATAACAACTTTTCCCTAATGGCAACCGAATACTGCCTATACAAGGATATCTAGATTCCCTCAGGATAATCAGTTCTCTAATGAACTAACACAATGGGAAAACTACATCTGCCAAGAACCTTGAAATTATGTAGAATCATTTCAATTATGACCAGGTTTGTTAGAGGAAAATTGAAGGAAAAACCACTTATGGCATCCTAATCCAAGCAATTCTAAGAGTTCTTAGAGGAACTAAAGGCCAAAAGAAAAGCCACCTATTCAATAATAAAATTATTTTCATTTTGGCTGCAATAGTAATAAAAAAAAATTTCAATGTTTCTGTAACATCACTTTATAAACAATAAAACGCCTAAAACTAAAAAGACCATTAACCAATGCTGGTCCCAACAATCCATGGTCTTGGGAAGTGTGAACTGGATAAAGACCTACTTCCAGCATTTTTAGCATGAAGTGAGAACTCATATTTTCACAGTTGTTAGCTTGAGATTTTACCATGTAACAAACAATTTCCCCCAAATAGAATACCTAAAATTCAATCTAAACCATTCATCTACAGCTTAATCTGGAAAAAAAAAAGAATGTCCACATACCCCTCGAATAAAGATTCCCGCCGAAAAATTCATTCTGCTGTCAGTTGGCCATTGCATATGTTTGAATAGCATGATCATGGTATGTCAGATACGTAAAGAAATAATCTTTCTAATGATCCCAAAATCAAGCCAAATGGGCAAGTTTTAACACCTCAAATCTACAACACAAGAAAGTAATGAGCACGATATTGACTTCTTTCCTGCTTGGATTTGAGATTCAGGTAATTGACCCAGATCTTTGAACATCACTTGCTTTGCATCATGTATCATTCTCCCTAGGTTGGAGAAAAACTCCATCATCCAATTTTGAGTCAGGAATGGTAAAACTTAACATAGATTTTCGAACAGTGTTACAGTGCCACCATTCATTGTTGGAATTAATTGGACATAATACAATTCAGTACTACCAGGAATTTCCTTATGTGTTAGCAAACTTAAAATAGAAGTTAATAATCCATATTTGATAAGCATCAAAATGGCAACAGAGTAACTGTCAGTTTGCCTTGCAGAAAAGGGCATAAACCGACAACCACAAAGACAAAGGAAAGAACTTCAAGCATTTGAAGCATCTGAAGATTATGGTATTATCATTCAGTGAAAAAATAAAGTACCAAGTACCAGATGAAGAAGGCAGACAGACCTTTTGACGATATGAAAAGAGGCCCACTCTTGAAAACCTGCATGGAGTTGTAGCCCAAAAACAAAAAACAAAAAAAAAAAAAGAAATGAGCACTTCAATGCAACAAATAATATAAAAAAAGATACAATTGATGTATTAACCAAGTAAAATGCTACACCAAGTCAGGATGAGACCTGGTGTTTACTTACATGTAGGAATCCAGTTCAATGCTCTATGCCTAGTTAAACCCCACATTGTTAATAACTGAATAATATGCCCCATAACTCTAATCCAATAATTAAAATTAAATCCAGCAACAAAGAATTATGATAGAAAAATAAGGATTGCCATTACTTGAACTATTTTGATGGATTTAACCTATCCTGAACCTATATCTCTTGCTTTTCTGCAGGCAGCATCCTTTTAGAGAATTGTTTGTTCAAGTTGCAAAAGCTAGGGTTTCAAGAGAGAGAAAGAAAGAAGAGAATAGAAGAAGAAGAAGAAGAAAGCAATGTGTCAAGAGGTGTGTGTTGTTCACTGTTCACACCCTCAAAAGTTCACTTTATAATTGAAAAAATAATAGTTACAAGAAGGGCCCCTATCCGGGTGCCCAAATACTGAGAGAGTATAAGAAAGGAGAATAAGACCAAAAACACAATGTAGATCTTCTATAATCGATGGACCCTGCCCAATCAGCATCTGTGTAAACCTTAATATTTAGATGGTCGTGGTTGGAATACAACATCCCTTTGCTAGGGTTTTTAGGTAGGCTAAAATTCTGTTAATTGCCTACATATGAGATATCCTGGGTTCATGCATATATTGGCTAACCACTCCAACAGCATAGGAAATGTCAGGTCTACTCAAACAAAGATACAGAAGGCGTCCCACCAATCTCTGATATACTCCCCTGTCTAGAAGAACTTTTCCTTCAGTAGAATTCAACTTGTGGTTGGGATCAATTGGAGTTTCTACAGGCTTACACCCTAATTTCCCAACTCATGAAGCAAATCGAGTACATATTTCCTTTGTGACAGAAAAATCCCCTTCTTGGATCTTGCAACTTCAATGCCAAGAAAGTATCAGAGATCACCAAGGTCCTTAATCTCAAATTCAAAAGCAAGGAATGACTTTAACTGAGAGATACCTGTGATATCATCACCTGTCACAACAATGTCATCAACATATACTATCAACATTGTTACTCTACCATCAACTCTTCTAATAAATAAGGTGTGGTCAGCCTGAAATTAAGAAAAACCAATCTTTAAGATGACATTCCTGAACCTGTCAAACCATGCTCTTGGAGACTGTTTTAACCCATACAAAGACTTCTTCAAGCGGCACACTTTTACATCACTGTTAAGGAAACTTACCCCAGGTGATAAGTCTATATACACTTCCTCTTGTAAATCCCAATTAAGGAAAGCGTTCTTTACATCCATTTGATATAAAGGCCACGAGTAATGGGCGGCAAGAGACATGATCACACGAATAGAGTTCATTTTAGCAACTGGAGCAAAGGTTTTCAAATAATCAATGCCATAAGTCCAAGTGTATCCTTTGGCTACAAGCCAAGCTTTGTATCTTTTAATTAAGCCAGTTGCCTTGTGCTTAACAGTATAAACCCACTTACACCCAACAAGAATCTTATCTTTAGGGTAAGGAACAACCTCCCAAGTTCGGTTCTTTATTAGGGTCTCCATTTCTTGGTTCATAGCTTCCTTCCAATGGGGGCACTGCATAGGCTCTATAACATTGCAAGGGATGGAAACAAAAGATATAGCAGAAATATAGGCACAATAGGAAGGTGAGAGAGCATCATAAGACACATAGTTAGTAATAGGATACTTGCAACATGTCCTCTTCTCTTTTCAAATGGCAATAGGAAGATCAAGGTTATAATAAATAATAGGATCGTCAGGAGGTTCAAGATTACCTGAGTCTAGGGAATCAGATTGTGATGGGCATTCTGCTTTAGGAGCCACCCTTTTACTGCGCCTGATGAAAAACTGTTGCTAGGACCAAGGTCGATACATAGGAGGATAAGGAATAAAGGGAGGAATAGAGGTAGGAACGGGAAGGCAGAAGGGAGTTCAATCTTCACTTGCATTCTCCCCTTGAAGAGAATGACGAGATGATTGGAAAAAGGAAGAGGATTCTAAAAAGGTAACATCCTTAGAGACATATCTCTTTCCAAAGAGAGCATCGAAGCATCTATAGCCTTTCTAGACTGGAGAGTAACCAAGGAATACACACTTAACTGATTTAGGATCAAACTTGCGCTGGGAATGACTCATATCATGAACAAAACAAACACAACCAAAGACCTTAAGGGATAGATTAAAAGGAAGTTCATCAAGGAAGAGTAGTTGATGAAGAGAATGAAGGTTAAGGACCCTTGATGGGAATCTGTTAATGAGATATACAGCTGTCTCAACAGCATCACCCCAGAAACAAGTTGGAACATGAGTTTGAAACAATAAGCCTCGAGCAACTTCAACCACATGCCTGTTTTTTCTTTCAGCCACCCCACTTTATTGTGGAGTATGACTACATGAACTTTGGTGAATAGTGCCCCTATCTTCAAGAAATCTATGCAAGTGATGTTCAAAGTATCCTTGGCATTGTTAAATCTTATTATCGTAACTCTTTTCTCAAACTGTCTCAACCATATTCATGAAGTTTTGAACAATCATAGGAACTTCATCTCTATTTTTCATCAAGTAAAGCCATGTATACCGCCTGTAGTCATCAACGAAGAGAATGAAATATCTGTACCCCCCCCATACCCATACAGGGGACAACATATGGGCCCCAAACATCAGTATGGATCAAATGCAAAGCAACATTACTTCTTTTACTACTTGCAGAATATGTGTTTCTACATTGTTTGGATAAATGAAACTTCACGTTCAAAATTCAATTTGGGCACAAAATCAAACAAGTTTGGAAACAAAAACTTGACAAAATTGGCAGACATATGACCAAGGCAACAATGCCATAATTTCAAAAAACTCATTTTCTCATTGGAACAAGACTCAGTCTGGCTCGACAATCCATGCTCTGAAAGTCCATCCAAGAGGTAGACACCATCCACTTCATTCCCACTTCCAATCGCCTTCCCCGTGCTCCGGTCCTAAAAAACACAATGGGTGGAAAAAAGATATCACTAAGCAATTGTAGGATTTTGTTAGAGAACTAACAGACAATAAATTTTTTTGTAGCTGGGGTACATGTAGAACAGAGTCAAGAGAAAGGTTATTAGTGATTCTGACTTCACCCTGACCCAAGATTGGGGTTTGAAATCCATCAGCAATAGTAATCTTGCCCTTCCCCGAAGTTAACTTATATGAGGTAAAATGTGAAGGCATACCAGTCATATGGGCACTAGCCCCAGAGTCTACAATCCATGGGCTAAATGAGGTGGAACAAGCAAGTGCATTACCTATCTTGGCATATGAACTAGATAGATTACTAAGTCCAAAACCAAATGAGGAGGATATACCACCCTTCTCTAGCTATAACAATATATTCCTGAGTTTGGCCATCACATCAGAGGAGTCAAGCACATCCGAGGGTTGAGCATCATTACCAACTGTAGCCATTGCCCTTCTTCCTGGTTTTGTACTTCTCCGTTTTAATGAGAACTGAGCTTCCAGCACCTTTCTTTAGTGTGTCTTGGCTTGCAGTACTCACAAATAACATCACCGACCTTCTCTGCAATGGGATGTTTGCTAGAATTTTGCTTGGATCAAGATGACATAAAGGCAGAATGATCACTCACAGAGGATTGCATCATGACGGTTCTTCAACTTTCTTCCCCTTGTACAAGAGAATAAGCAGTAGCAAAAGAAACAATGCTTGCACTAAGAATGTGTTGCCTGGTAAAATCAAACTCTAGGTTTAAGCCATCCAAAAAATCAAAGACTCTATTCTCCTCTATGTACTTCCGATACTGCTCACCATCTTCAGGGTCCTTCCAAACTAGAGATTTCAAGTGATCCATTTCTGTAGAGAAGAGAAATACATAGCAACAGATCTCTCCCCATAACGCATACTGCAAGCTTCCCTCCAAAGCCGATACTTTCTAGCAGTATTGTTAACTTGGAAATAAGTAGCAACTACCCCTATCCCAGATATCCTTGGCTGATGGAAGAAACATGTAATTTCGAGCAATATGAGGTTGCATTGAGTAAATCAGCCATGACATAACAAGGGAGTTGTCCTATCCCCACCTTGCAAATTTCGGGTCTTCAGGACTTGGCTTCACTTCCCTTCCTGTGATGAATCCCAGTTTACCCCTCCCAGTAATGTTTAGCAGACTGAGACCACTCTAAAAAATTACTTTCATCCATTTTAACAGTAGTTATCATATCATTGGAAATATCTGCAGCTCCCGGGAGCACGCCGGGAACCATCTGAAAATCCTTAGATGATTCCATATTCTAACAAGACACCTTTTCACCAACCAAAAGGACCCCCAACACTTTAACCGATGTTCCAAACCCAAAAACAAGGTTACCCCACGGTTAAGAACCAAAGGAAGACCCAAAAAACTAGGTTGGCCGCAAAATAGAGGGAGAAAAAAATCTCCCAAAAATCACACAGTGCTCAGAAAATTACAGGACCACTTCCCGTCAATCCCAAATTGAAAAACGACCTGAATGATCTAGGTTTTACTGCAGAAAAAAAAAATCATTAAACCTGGTGTACATGGCTCGACATTAGATTTGGAATTTCTGCAATTTTTTCCTTGAAAAATCCACCAAAAATCATAGAAGATTCATATAACAAAAAGAGTCATACCAAAATTTTTCTAAAATCAAGGCAAATCAAACTATATTGGTTTCATAGACTGTCGCCGACACCTATACAGACTGTTGATGTCATCCGGCCGTAGTCTGACATCAACAGTTCACCTCTGGGTAGGAGATCAGCAAAAAACTAACTCCCAAATGCTTCTACCTGCTCTGATACCAAGTTGCAAAAGCTAGGGTTTCAAGAGAGAGAAAGAAAGAAGAGAATAGAAGAAGAAGAAGAAGAGGAAGAAGAAGAATGCAATGTGTCGAGAGGTGTGTGTTGTTCAATGTTCACACCCTCAAAAGTTCACTTTATAATTGAAAAAATAATAATTACAAGAAGGCCCCTATCTAGGTGCCCAAATACTGAGAGAGTATAAAAAAGGAGAAAAAGACCAAAAACACCCCATCTAACCATTCTCAACTGTTCAAAAGAGGCAAACCACTTCTCCTACTTTTCTTATTCATATTCCCCTTTTTATTATTATTTCCATATTTCATCAATTAATCACATGATTTCAAAAAGGGAGGTACAAGAAAAGGGAGAAAGCCAAAGGCCTATCTATATGCAATAAACCCAAGGTTACAACCACCATGACAAATTATTGCCGATGATACTCAAATACCTGTACAAGGGTGCATATCATTTCAGATACTTCAATTTTCAATTTAAATTCCATATCTGACACTTTGCCCAACCATATCTGGGTAATATATGTTCTTGGCAGTTGATGTTGTGCTCTCATATTGTTCACTTCTTAGAACTGATCCTTTCTTAATTCTAAAAAGGATTTAGCTTTCCTTTTCTCTTTGCAAATATCATATGCATAGCTTGGTTTCTCTTAGAGTCCTATCACCTTTTTTGTTGCTCTTTTGGAACTTCTCTCCTATGGATGTTACTTTAAGCATTGCAGAAGATCTGGCATCTAAATTGAGGCGTGACATGTATGAAGAGATGAAGGGTTTAGAAAATAATGTTAATTTTGAAGTAGGGATATTCCTGATGGACAAAGAAAATAAGATTTTACTTTGGCAGACAATCCATTTACATGAACTGAAATTTCCTTTGCAGTTTCCAATTTATTCATATTGTCACATTGAGGCTGTAATTGATATATGGGAAAATTCCTGAATTACCCTGTACTTTAGGGGTAGTCTCAGTTTAGTACCAAACCGTCAGTTTAGTCTCAGTTTAGTACCAAACCGTCAATTTTGAAAATGTCAAAACTACCCTTCGAAATAAGACACTGTTCATTGTCTTCTACCTTGAGACTGAAGACGGAAACGATTTTATTCACTCTAAAAAATCATGGGATTCAGCTACTTCAGATATTACCAGACAACCCTCAGCAGTCTCAATACTAACAGAGAAGAGGAGGTTTAGGGTTTCACTCATTCTTTTCTTCCTCTGTTACCGTCAGATCTACTCGATCGAGAGCACTACTCTAACAGAAGCCATGTTGACTACACCGAATGGCTGTCACAGAAGGAGGCCGACATTCAGATTATGTTGGCCATGGACGTCCATCTCAGGACCAAGAATTGTGATTTCCAGATGGGACATTATGTCTTCAAGAGGCAAACTGACGGTATATTCATTATTAACCTAGGGAAAACATGGGAGAAGTTGCAAGGCCTTATGGTCAGAGGGCAGTATTGAAGTTCTCACAATACTGTTCCACCATGACATCCCATTTCTGGCAATTGTTTACTGGAGTCCTCTAGTGTCAACTGGACAAAGAGGAACCTTTTTAGTAATAAAAGGTTCTCTTTCAATACTCTATTGTGAGACAACAGTATCATGATTCCCTCCCCCTTGCTGCTTTTAATCTTTGACAGGCTGTGCAATCCAAAGCAAGTGACATTCTTGGAAAGGAAAATCCGTTGGAAGAATCAAATCCTGAATATGAGAAACTTAAACATTACATCTTTGAATTTGAAGATCACTTAGCAGAAGCACAAACACATGCTTTTTTGTCTGGTGAAGAGGCACAGATAATCTTGAAAAGTAATTACTGGTTTCTTGAATGTTCTCCATCTGTTATAAAACTTTCATTTCTTTTAGCTTTCCCAAATTTCATATTCAAATAGCATATAAATCTGCTCGTCTAGCTTATCTATGTTCGCAGAACTGGGACAATCTCTAGCAAGATTTTGGCAAGGCAGTCAAACTTTTGGGTGAATGTAGAAGAAACTCTCTTGGGAAGGCTTTTTCTGAACTTGGATCAAACTCGGAGAAGGTGCAGCAGCTGCACCACCAATGACTATTCCAGCTCCTGCTACAGGCTGGGAATGATAGAGTTACAGTCATTTAAAACATTTCTTTTTTTTTAGAATCATTTCAAATCATTTTCCGTAAATTAGAACTTTCTTTTAAGTATTTGGTGAAATGTCATTGAAAGTGGCGAGGGGGATGAACTTGACGAAACCCCATTGAGTTTTCATGGCATGAAAACAATGTTTGTTTTGGTTCAGTCCCAAGGTAGAAGACAATGAACAGTGTCTTCTTCAAAGGGTAGTTTTGACATTTTTAAAAGTTTTAAGTCACACATGTCATCACGTGATATGGATAACTGAAAGACTGTTAACAACAGGGATAAATTGACAGCTTTTAAGAGTTCAGGTACTGCAGTGGCACATTTTGAAGTTCGGGTACTAAACTGAGACTACCCCTAAAGTACAGGGTACTATTCTGGAATTTTCCCTTAATATAATTCAAACCCAGCCAATATGACAGAATCCAACACAGAGGTAAATCATCAGTGTATCAGGAAGAAAAAAAAAAAGTAGAATGTATTGTTGCCTACTTTAGCAGTTATGTTAGTCTAAGTTCCTGTTTGCATTTAATTTTCGGTAATTTCTTGAGCTTTCCAAACTCTAAAATACAAATGGAATTTGCTTTACTTAAAAGATTTTTATTCACATGAATGTTTATACATAAAGAATGACCCTCTTATGGAGTAATTAGAATCAAAAAGAAGTTAAGCCTTTAACTTCATTACCCTTGTTGATCAAACAGGCCCGGGTGGCAAATAGCTTAGTGGGATCCAGATTGTTATTCACCCCTAATTTGTTTGCATACTCAGTTTAAACTTAAAAAAGGGGGGGAAGGCAGGATCAGAAAATATGTTGACAAGGCTATTAGCTAAACTCGTCTTTATGAGATTCTAAGCTGGCATGTTAGTTATTATTCATCAGTTCAAGAAGGTGCTACCCTTCAAAAAAACAGGGTAAAGGTGCATTTAGATGCATAATATTATTTTTTTTTTTACATATTGGAAATTAATCATGATCAACTTTAAATATTTTGTTGCTTGTCATTAATCAATGAGATACACTGGAGGAGGAGGAGGAATCCTTTAAGTAACTTTTCCATGGCATCCTCTAATACTGACATTCAACTTCCTTCATTAGTAATTCTTGTCATATAACTCTCAACTGAGTGCTTTTGTGACTCAACCAATCCCATCACTTCACAACTTGAAACGTGTGGGAATGTAATGGAAATGGCATATGGAGAGTTCGGTTTCACCAATGTCATAAAACTTGGATGACACGGTAAACCAGAAAGGATGTTGAAGATAGAAAATAGCCAATTACCACGTTGCCAGCACAAGAGGAGGCGGATGTTGGACCGCCATCTCCCTGAAACATAAAATCAGGCACTCTTAAGTGTTCCCTTTCTTCTTCTTTTTTTTTTTTTTTTGGTTTTTGTTTTTGTTAAAGAGGCTTTCTTAAGTGTTCCCTTTTCGTTGACTAAACATACTACCCTTATCATACATTCATCAAATCAATCATGTTCTCCAACGTTTAAACTAAAATAATTTAAAGCATAAATAGAAAAGGGGGGAAATAATGATACTGCAAGAGATCCCCTTTGAACATATCTTTAACATACATGTGAAGACTCTGCGCTTCGGGTAGCCATCCTTGATTCTCGTTCACATCCCAGAGGATCACCATGCACGATCAGCAAGATCAAAAGCACTCAGCAGAAACCTGCATTATATTGATCGATTTCGCAATGCAACATATGTATAAGCCAAATGCGAATTTTTCTTATTATCATCGCAATCAATTGACAGGTACAATAGCAACAAATTTTGCAACAAATATAAACAGGCGGTCGCCTCAAGGTAAAAGAATTCAAACCTCCGAACGAGAAGATGGACATGTAGACTTGAACACCAAGCAATAAAAAGAAACCAAAAGACAAAAAGGAAACAGATACAGGCAATGTAGCTTAGTAATACCTCATAAAGAAAACTTCATCTGGTAAGCAAAGAAAGACCGAAAGACTAGAAAGAAGGAAGGAGACGATGTGCAAGCTGCAAAAATTCGCTTTCGGCCTCTCTGTCGCATCCCAGTCTGGTCTTCTCAGATTTCCCAACCGAAACCCGTTGGACAAGAAACCGATTTTAAACGGCCCCTCGGAACGCGGGGGTCTGTACAGTTCAATCTCATGTGTGCATACGAATACAAGAACTTTTCGGGATTGGAGGGAAAAGGTGGAGGGTAGTTGTGGTAATTTGGGATAATTAACGGAGCAAATGCGCCAAGGCCCAAGGTGGACCAATGCGGAAGATAAAACCGGGAAGTTAATCAAGCGGCAGACCGGCTCGTTAATCAAGCCTTTTCGTTCCTATAAGTATCAATCTTAATGATCTTCTTTGAAATCTAAATTATATTTGTAATTCTGATTTATGCGGACGCGCTACCCCCGTCTTATGTAGCCAGTAGCCACTCTTGATTTCTATTAAGAAAAATATTTAAAATAATAAAAATAAAAAGTACATTCATTAGACGACGTCCCCCGATCTGAGAACCGAAATATATTCCAATCTCGCGCGGTTCAGTAGGAGCCCTCCATTTTCGAGGGGCCGAAGACAGCGTTTTGTTTGCCCCCAATTAATGCGCAACGTCTCGCCCAGCCGAACCCCGCCTGGATGGTTGGATCGCCGAACCCTTCGACAGCCTGGACTGTCAACAAGACTCTATCTGCATGCCACGTTACTTCATCCTGCAATGGTTTTTTCGCTCTACCATAATGCCTCTTAGATTTTTCATTTTTATATCTAAATCATAAACACTAAAAAAAACCTTTAAACCTCAGCTTTATATCTTAAATCCTAAACACTAAATCAAAACCCCTGAACATTAATCCCTAAAAGAAGGGCTCTAGTTCAACAATTTGGGTTGTCAAGTAGACTCCATCCGCATGTCATGTTATTCCATTCTACAATGTTCTTTTCACTCCTACAATGGTACTTGTTATATTTTTATATCTAAATCCTAAACATTAAACTTTTAAATCTTAAAATTAAAAAATAAAAACTTTAAAACCAAACCTTAAATCACCATAAATCCTAAACACATGAACTATTAAACCCTGGAAGGTAGGGTGGAGAGAAAAACTACAAAATTGAATTGAACCGATGAAATCAAATCAAAAATTTCAGTTAACCAAATTGACCGATTCAGTTTCAGTTCAATATTTTTAAAAAACATAAGGTATCAGTTTGGTTTTGGTTAACCAGTATAAAAAATCCATGGTTATTCGAACCAACTGGTATACATATATTTCTATATATTTTATATTATCCATATATTATTAATTAATAACTATACATTATATATATATAAATATATATTTATAATATATAATATATCATTTATTATTTATTATTTAAAATATAACTTTTTATGTGTATTTCTAGCTTTTATTATATATTTATATATTATAAAAAAATTATACATTATAAATATTAAAAAAAACTGAAAAACTGAGGAATTAAACCAACGGTTAACCAATTAACCAATTGGCTTTGGTTTGGATTTGGTTACTAGTTTTCTAGAAATTGGAAGTATCAGTTCAGTTTCAAAAATAAGCCCATGGTTCATTTAACCAAAACATGAGCACCCCAACTGAAAGGATTCTCGCTCGATAGCTTGGGTTGTCAACAAGACTTGCATGTCATGTTATTTCATGGCACCTATTAGATTGTATATGAGTATATCTAAATCCTAATCCCTAAAATAAATTAAAAAAAAACAACCTTAAATATAAAACCATTCACCTTAAAACATTAAATCCTAAATTCTAAACCCTAAAATAAATTAAAAAAACTAACTTAAATATTAAACCATTAACCTTAAAACATTAAATCCTAAACCCTAAAATAAATTAAAAATCTAACCATAAATATTAAACCATTAAGCTTAAAACATTAAATCCTAAATTCTAAAAGAAGGGCTTAAACCTCTAACATTGTGGTTAATTCTCATATGCTCTATCAATTAAGCCATGAATTTCCTTCTCACAGCACTTATAAGTGTTCATTGAAATCATCTTCTAGTGAATAAAAAACAAGAAGTACAGAAGATGTTAGGATGTGTTGCTGTAATGTAATGTGAGTATGAGGTAAGTGGGAGAATGGTGATCGGATCTCATATGCTAATAATGTTCAAAGTATTGATATTGATAATGCAAAAGTATAGGAAAAAAAAGACAATTTTAAGATATATTAAGATATGCTTAAGCAAGCATGGATAAGACCCAATAAATTTAAGTGATGCTTACCTTGTAATATTTAACACTCATTTGTTTTGAATAAGAAAAAATTGCAATGTCTATACTTCCGGTTGTATTTATATATAGGAAAAATTTCACTCAGTACCCTAAACTTTGGGGGTAGTGCCAAGTCACTACCCGAACTTTCAGATGTGTTGCTTTAGTACCCAAACTTTCAAAAATTTCACTTCAATACCCTTCACCTATTATCTATTTTTCCTATGACTGATATCTGATCTTTGACTAGTAACCACCTTCGAAATCAACTCTTGATTCATCTCACCACGCGGGTCCTCCAGTTTCCCAACAATAACCTCTGATACCCCTCTCAATTATTCGATCAAATCCCCCCTATGAAAACTATTTCCTTTGGACATCCATCATCCATTCCCATTACCTCCATGCTCAATTTAACCAATCAATCTACCTATAGGCTAGAAGTTCTAAGGCGCGTCTGAAGGCACTGTCTTTAAAATGTAATTTGCCCCCACTCAATTCCACTGAGTTTGATGTTGGGTTATAAGGAAATCCATTCCTAAGGTACAACAGAGCATTGGGCGAGAATCTACAACCAATAAAATTGAAGAATCTCCAAAGAAACCTTTCGTGAGGCAATAGCAGATCGGACTGAGAGAGACAAGAGTGACTTTCAAAACTTGTGTGTGCAATTGCTTGATTCACACTCCTTAAATAATTTTTGAAGAGTCATGGAGCAGAGAAAGGTGCTGGTTCAAAAAAGGTTGATTGAACAGACACAATTTAAAAAATTGTGATTCTTAAAAAGGTAGTTAAGAGTTAATGACCGTTAAACTTTGAATAGTGCATCTTGATCACACCTAATAAAATCGTAGCCGTTAAAACATCAACGGTCAGCCTCACACCAAAAGTCAAAGCCACCATTCGTGAGCAAAGTGCACCTCTAAAGCACCTCATTGTGTCATGCACACGCGTTGTGCGGTAGCAAACCTCCATACGTTCCTCTTTATATCTAAGGAGTGTAAATAAACTACTATTTAAAAACTCAAAACAAGTTTTGTAATTTTCCAATGTGGGATAAGTTAAAAACTGATTTTAGTATGAAAAAAAAAACTATTTTTAAAGACATGTGCACAGGTATTTTTTTCATGTAATTTGATCAATCAAACCCCATTGTGTTTAATCTCTAATGAGATTAAAACCCAACATCATTTGTTGAGTGCTTCACAAGGATATGGCCGGATATGGCATCAACGAATGAGGGGACTGCCCCGAGGAGATGTTAGAGATGGTGTTGGACATCGAACGAATGAAATTCAGGGATCTAGTGGCTGAGACGACCCAAGATTTTCCATTATTCAGCACAACTCTCTCTCTCTCTCTCTCTCTCTCTATATATATATATATATATATATATATCCGTCATACTTCCTTTAATCCCTTGCCATCCATCAAAATCATAACTGGTTTAGATAATAGAAGAAAATGGTGGAAACCAGCATGAGTTTCCTTTCAAACTCTCATATTTTGAACGCTTCACCGCTGCCCAAAGCAAAGCCTTCCTCAATCGAGTCACCAACAACATCAACACGAAAACATAAATGATGAAATAACCGGAAAATAGATATTGTACAAGGTTAATATGGATCGCCGTCCGTTCAATAGTTCTCTGGTTGGTGTAGCTCAAACAAACACGCAGTGGTGGATCATAGACAATATTCACAGTCTTTGTCGTTAAACTTCAACCCTACATTCCCAAATGTTAAACATGTGTGAAAAGGGTAAAATGGTCTTCAAACTGGATTAAAGGGCATTTTGACATATTGAAAAATTTAAATCATCACATGACGGATATAACAGATGGAATACTAACGGCAAAGACCAATTTGACACTTCTTGAAAACTTGAATAATATAACGACACATTTAAAAGTTCAGGTATTAACTTGATACTACCCACAAAATTCAAGGTATTAAAGTGAATTTTTCCCTTATATATATGGAGAGAGAATTATAGATTCCACAAAGAATACATGTGTTAGGGTAAGCTGATGACATGGCTTCCATTCAAATGATTGGTGGTCTTTACGGTGTATGCCATCCATCCACCAAGACAACAATGCACGCTAATATTTTTATTTTTTTTTTAAAGCAAAGAAAGCAACTATGATTAATTGGCTAAAGGTTTTACTCAGTGTGCCGGTTTGAAGTACAAAATGCGAATAATTGGAATCGGAATCTCATTCCACCCGGAATTTGAATTGGTTATCCCGATTTCAAATTCAGGCCCATGTTCCTGCTAAAGCTAAACAAATGAATCTTAAAGCTGCGTTTGGAAATGGTGTTAAGGAATCAATACACATTATAAATCATGATTCATGACACCTCGGATTCAGCCATTCAGGTGCGTGCAAAGTGGGACTGGATTTTCACTTTATTTTGCGCACTCCTCTCGTTTGACAAATAATGATGCAAAACATGTTTCCCGTAAATGAAAATACATAAATATTTATTTGGCTAAAATCAAAGCAGTTTTTCACTCCAAGACAAATGTACAAAGTTACTTGAATCTTAATGAACATTTTCACAGTGTTTCCAGATGTATATAAATCAGATTATCAGAACCAAGGTGTGATAATGCACTGGTATTTACGTCCTTTTCAAATGCAGCCTAAATAAACAATCTATTTATGCAACTTTTGCCCCCATTGGCTTGGTAGGGACATAGACAAAAAATTGATGTACTCATATACCGTGGAATGTTGGCATTCCTAATATTTAATTGGGTAGTCACCTATTGGCTTGGTCAGGATTCCATTATCGTTTTTCTTTAATGATAGTTGGCTTCATGTGCTTGAGCTTTGAGTGGTTCTTTACACTCGAGCATCGTTTCAGAGCTGCAAGT